GTTTGTTCTAAATCTCAGAACCCAGAGAGTTGAAACAGAGGAACAGACCAGGTGTCCTCACTGGAGAGAATAACCCAGAGACACAAGCCTTGTCTTGGCAATCAAGGATTGCCCTGTATTTAATGCAGTCAATAATTCAGTCATTTACCTTTCTGCAGTGAAATGCATCCGAAGCGTGCCTGCCTATTTTGCTGAGACTCTGTATTATTCCATGAAGGTATGTAAATGTTTTCCCTATGTTACTTTCCATCTCCTCCAGCTACAATTCCTGTCCCTTTAGCTTGTTCTTAATTTCTTCTACCACTGTAAATGCTGACAGGGTACTGTATCACTTAAGTATCTGCAAAAAGTTCAGGGAGTGCTGGGAGAGGATGCAAACAATTTGGAGAGGTTCCTTGGAGTTACTCGTAGAAGCAAGAGCTTTTACAGTCATCGACTGTTTTGTGACTTGGTGTCATTACACTGGAAAATGTCTGGCAAGATCCTCGGGGTGCTTGCAACTGATGAAACTGCAGTGTCTTTAGCTGGTGGATGTACTGAGAAAGGAAAGAATTGTAAATTGTGCCAATTGGAGTGCTGTTTGATTTGGAGGTGAGTTTTTAGACCAAAGGCATTAGGTAGCTTTGAAACACATTTTGGTTACTATCCATCCTGTTTTGAGAAGCACAAGAAACTCAGCAGAGAAAAGGAAAGGCTTTAACAGCTGCAAAAGACTACACCCAGAAATTGCATTAGCAGTGCATCCGTGTTTCTGTTGGCTTCACCTTCTCTTGGAAGGGAAGAGATAAGCAGGGAAAGCTGCAATTTTTAATTCCCAGTGGGTAATATCAATTAAAGCAGAGGCAGGTAGTCTGTTATTTTCAGGCAAGTTATCAGCTTCCTTGAGGAATTCCTCCCTTCTCCTTGCTGGAGAGCCCTGAAGTATGTTTGTCAGAAGATGAGGTGACAGCTTGAGAGTTAGTAATGAGACACAAAATGATAGCTTAATTTTTAAAAGTCCTTTACTGCTCTTACAGATACCAATGTAGAATAAGGTTCAGGTGAAAATACAAAGTATTGTACCAGTCAGCTGAGCTATCTGAGGAGGATTACTTTTTTTCTTAATTATTAATTTTTATTTTTTAAATAATGCAATTTTCCTGTTGGCTTTAGGCTCTTATACACTTCGGAGATTCCCCACATTTTTTTTTTAATGTAAATAAAAATCGTTTGAAACTTCAGATAAGAAATCTTTTTGTCAATTATTACTTTAACAGAGGAGTTTGTGCTTCTAATTTGTCAGTTTGGCATGACGAGGTTCTACATTGAGCAGAATTTACTTTCATGATGAGGTGGGGCAGAGCTTGGCTTTTATTCCTCAGAAACCACCGGACTCATGGCACAACTTTTGAGCAGCTTGAGGGCATTTTTAGGTGTAATCCAAGAATATTGCACCCAGAAGGAGTGAGTGGCCCTGGACATTAGGCTGAAGATGACCGTGGGGGCTCTGCCAAGTCCTTCCCTGAGGTGCATCCGCAGGTCAGCACGTGCAAGTTTGTATGGCTTCAGCTTGTGTGGAGTCTGCCTTGTCTGAGCACAGGGGGCAGGGCCTGGTCTGCACAGGAACGTGAAATGCTTCAAGCACTGAAGATGATGAACAGAGTGGGGTGTGTTTGTGTGGTTGGAAAAGGTTTGTGAAGTTTGCCCCCAAAAGAAACAGCTGGAGAGTTCATGGGATGAGTTGCTCTGTGTCCTGCTGTGTGATGTTCCTTTGTACGGGTCACCTCTGGGATTGAGGTAGCCAGGTCCAGAGCTGACTGCAGGGTGCACTGCAGGAGGACTTCCACATGATTCTGATTGTGGTGAGCAGCTGTGCTACTGGCTAAGCTTGGAACTGGGGTCTTGGAAATCGATGTGGGCATTCACAATTGAAGCCTGAGATGAAACATGAAATAAGGGGCCTGAGCATCTGGCACTTGATAGAGGTCCAGAGATTAGAGGACCCTGCATGGTGAGCCCTCTGTTCTCCACATATCAGTGTGAATGTCTCGTGATACTGTCCCAAATATTCTGGTTTGGAGCTGAACTGTAATGCAGGAGTGGTTTGAGATGCCACTTGTTGCTTTCATGTTGTACCATAGTTGTTTGTATTTTATGTTTTGTTGTGGCATGTGTCCAGAACGAGCTCCTATTTGCAAGTTGTTTGGTCTTTTCTCTTTAGGGGGCTGGCACTGATGATGACACCCTGATCAGAGTCATGGTTTCAAGAAGTGAAGTTGATCTGCTGGATATTAGACGAGAATTCAGAAAGAATTTTGCTAAATCATTGTATCAAATGATTCAGGTAAAATTACTGTTCTGTTCTCAGGGAATGCAGGGGTGATTGAGATTGCACTGCTTTCATTGTTGTTTTTCCTGGCAGAGGGAGGGTGTGGGTAGAGCTGCGTGAGCTGGGCTCTGAGACTGTTGAGTTCCTCTGCAGTTTTGACATGGCATTGTTTAAGTGGGGGACACTTGCTATGGAAAAGTGTTTCCTTCCAGTGTTCACTAGGTTTTCTGAAGTTACAATTACTCATACACCATTTTTAGCTACTGCATCATTTCCTTGTTCTTGTCTGGGTTCCTTATTGTGCAGCTCTTCAGAGAGGGTGCTGGCTCCAGAGAAATAACATGGATGGGGAGCCTGAATTATCATGAGGCTGAAGTTTAGGTCTTAGGTTGTGGTGTGGAACCCTTTGCAACATTTCCAAGTGGAAAGGATTTCACTGTGGAACCACTCTGAGTCATAATTTCCTTTGAGTGGATGGGAAGGAGCAGGAAGGGAAGGAGCCAGCAAGAAACCTGGACCCAGCTGTTGCTGCAAAGCTAAACCAAAAGGCTTTTTTTTTGGCATTGTTTTTCAGGCCCATATGGATTTTGTATCAGCGCTCCCATTGATTACAGGGGGCAGAGCTGGTGCCTTTCTAGGCAGTGGCAGGTGCACTTTGCCCATGTGTTGCTTTTGGTGCTGCTCTGGGCTTCTCCTTTGAACTTTCCCCTTCAGACAAATGCATCAAGTGTGCAATGGGCAGCTCTGTTTTCTAGTAAAGCTTTTGGAGGATTTTTGTCTCTGGCAGTCCGTCTGTGTAAATACAGCTCTCATGTAAGAGGCAGAGAATTTCCTTGTGTCATTCCTGAGCGGAGAGTCATCCTGTGGATTTCCTGTGGGTGGGATCAATGTGTAACCGTGCTGGGGCCCTCCTGGCAGCTGCCCTGGTGACTCACGGTGCTGCTGTGCTGCATTGACAGAAAGACACGTCCGGGGACTACAGGAAAGCGCTGCTGCTCCTCTGCGGCGGAGACGACGACTGAGGACACGCAGCACTCGTGGTACTCCAGCTTTCGCAGCCCTTCATTAGCATGTCTGCCTGAGGTTTTGTATCTTAATGCTTCGTGGCTGCTTCAATTTATACTAGGATTGCACTTAGTAAAAAGGAGCACATTGTTATCCCTCCTCTTCCCCACATCCCAACTTCCAGGAATTTCAAGTGCCTTCTGTGATCTGCGAGAGTCACCTTTGTGGAAGGTGGGTGCTGAGCACAGAACCCAGTTCTTTACAGGTGTTTAGCTGAAATAGGAAAACATCATCATGTATTTCACAATAAATTCAACATAATTTTTTTTTTGCTTTTATTCCTTACATTTCCACTGAGTGTTAAGCTAGTTCTAACATGGCAAACAAGGTAATCCTTTGTACGTAATATTGGAATGAATTTGCTGAGCATATTACAAGCAATCATTGGAAATCTAAAAGACCAATAAATTTTGTCCCTTCTCATCACAGTTGTATGTGGTTTTTAATCCAATTTAATGCTTTTGATTTTTTTCCCTTTTGTAGGATTTTATTGCCTCAGGCTGTTGGTATATATTTCCTCCCATTATTGATGTTTTGAAGTATCTGGTATTTTGCAGTTCTCCATCTCCATGTCTAGCCTAGGATATGGGTGATGCTGTGGTGATGCTGCTGTTCAGTATGGTTGGAAAACCAAAGTGTTGGTGCTTGCTGGGCATTGCATCCTCATTTTGTGCTCCTTTGTGTTTTTCTTCTCCTCTAAAGCTGGGGCAGGGAAGGAAGGAGAGTTGCTGTGCAGGGCCAAAGTAGAGCAGATGTCCTGCACTCTAGGACCAGTCAAGGATGTCTGGGATGGAAGCAGGTCAAGAAGAGATGGGATCTGTTCTTCAGGGATCCTGGGAGAAAAGACAATGTTTGCAGCATCCCTCCCCTCAGGTTAGCAGGGAGCAGAGCACAGGGTGGGAGAAGGACCAGCCTGTTTTGTGGGCTGCCATGAATTCTCTGCTTTGGTTCAGCATTTATGACTGGATCTGAAAATCAAATGGATGTGTGTGAAGGAGAATAAAGAGGCTTCTCTATCATGCCTTGGTAAGATCTGAACACCATGGCTCTAAACTCAGCTTATCAGTCAGTCACATACATCAGCTGCAGAAACTGCACATTTTAATAATCCTCCTGAAACTGATTCTTCACAGGTTATTAAGAGCTTTAAAACTTTCAAGTTGAATAAATGTCAAGTTTTAATTTTTTGCATTGCAATTCTGAATTAATACTGTCATGATCTCTTGGTACTAAGTACTTTGTTTTCAGTGTAAGGTATGCAGAAGAAAAAAATTCTATTGTGATTGTTTTCTTGCCTTTCGTGAAATGAATTGTCAGTGTTTGTCAGTTTTGCTTTTTTATTTACAAATGTGTTAGCAAGGAGTGTTAAATTACAGCTACTCATCCTGGAATTACGTGGCCAGCTGCACACACTGCAAGCTTGGCATGACCACTGGCCTGGAAATATCTTGGGGTAACAGGAGGTTTGGGGTTTTATGGTGGTTTTGGTTTTATTTTTTTTTTTTTTTTTATGATTTAATATTTACCAAGGCAAAATCACACACAAAAATCTCTAAGGCACTGGTTTCTACTGCTTTGGAGATTAGACACTGTATTTAATTTTTCAACTGCATTCACTTTCTTTAGGATTTTTAAGAAATTGCTATCTCATCTTCATTATTTGTTTTCAGTTCTTTGGTAGATTTTTGGTTTACATGTGATGCTATTCCACGAGAGTCTGACCCTTGTAAAAAACCTGCTGCTTATGATTTAAATGGAATGATCTAAATTACTTGCAGAATTTGTAAGTAGTGACTCCGACTGGGAGTTGGTAGGGATCAGTCATCTGTAAAAAGTTTTAAGATGCAAATGGGCAAAAGCATTTGAATTTCCCTTTTGAAGTCATTGAACAGAGAAAACAAAGTCTGAGAACCTTTCTTACTCAAAGAAGTCTAATTAACATGTAAAGAAGTTAATTGCAATATTTGTAGCATTTACTGTGTAACATCCCTTTAGGAATACAAGGTTGGGCATCTCCAGTACAGTGCATTCCTAAGAGGAATCTAAATTACAGTTGCCAATGAATTAATTACTTCCTCTATGGCAATAGTTAATCATTGGTGTGTTGGGTTTTTCTCCATCTTCTGATTCTGAGTCATGAAAATGGGTGTTAAATTCATTTTATCAGTAGAAGTGTTGCAAAATCCTATCAATCTCTTTGCAAAGTCAATTTGCAAGGGTTTGAGCAGGAGCACTAAAATCAGCCCTCTTTACCTATGAAGCATTTGTTTGAAAGCAAACTTCATTAAGTACAATATTGTTGGCTTTCCCAGAAGAGCTACTGTCCCTTCCTGCTTGGTTTCTTTTCCCCCCACAAGAAAGTGTTTGGGGGCTCCTATATATATATATTACTGCTAGAAGTATGATATTCTTTATTTGGTTTCATCACAGTGGGTTTATCTTTGCAGTATTGAACACAGTGTATGGGGGGAAAAAATTATTAGTTTCCTTACTTGATTTCCCTCAATTTTGTGATTGATGCATATCAAGTTATTAATTTGCTTGGTTTGGATTCCTAAGTGCTATTCATATTGTTTCTTTATCCCACTTCAGCTCCCTGACAGCTGGAATTGCTGTGGGCATCCAGTTACTCGCATATGTGCTGAAAGCAGTAATTTATGAGCAAGGCAATGTTATGGATGAAAAGCCTAAGCAATAACTCTGGTTTAGTGTAGGATTAATCTAGAAGTCAGAGACCTGCTGAGTCATTATGGTGAGGACTGGTAGGTCACAGCTTTTTGGTGTGTGGGTATTTCTGGTGTCCTCTGGAAATGCCATTTGATGGCTTACCTGGAATAAGTACATGGAGTGTGACTAAACAGCACTTTGTAGGTAACTCACCTTCCCAGTGTCTGCAGTTCATCCTGACATTGCATTTCTGACTTGAAAATGGAAAGGCTTCACCTCTTTGTCTCAGTCAAGCTTTTAGCATGTGGTCATTTTGTCCCTGTCCCAGCATCTGCAGAAACACTGAAACCTCAACGAGTGGCTGCACATAAACCATACAAGGCTTTTTCTAAGCTGTGCCTTGAAGAAGTGTTGCTACAATCAGCTAAGTGGAAAGCCTTGATTCATCTTTGAGTGCCTGCAGTTACAGCTCCAGTTCCTCTGGGTGTCAGTGGAGTGAGTTGAATTCCCGTTTCCTGAATGGGACAGGAGAGTGTCATTTTCTCCAGGCTGTGCCATTTGCCATGTGGGCAGGGGATGGTGCTGTTGCTCCAAGTAATCTCATTGAGGCCGTGGTGGTGCTCAAATTCTCTCATTCTCTCTCGAATCACTTCCTGAATTGGTTTGGTTTTTTTTTTTTTAACCTTTTTCAGGTTGCTCTATCTGGTTTCCTTGACCTCAAGCATGAGTCAGACAATTGAAATTTTTGTTATGTTTTAATGTAGTCTTGTGCCCACTATGAAATGAGAAAGCAGGGAACAAAAGACTTTATTGGAAATAGAAGCTGGGTTTATGCACATGACATTTTTATTAATGTTAAGCATGTACCTGCTGCAGTATGAGCATAGACAATATCCACTCTTACTCCCCAGTTATGGGAAATGAGAAAATATGTTTTTGTTCAACTCATGCATTTACAATTGGGGAATTTAATGGAACAGATTTTGCTGTGCAATATTATTTGATTTACAGAGATTTCTGACCTGCTGTCCCTGAATTACTGCCAGGTCTTAGTAAGCCTGGGATGTTATTTCATATTATTCAAGCACCAACATAACTGCTCTACACTTTCCAAAGAAATGGGAAGGCTGTGGAAGACCTACTGTTTTAGCAAGTAACGGTGTAATTAGCAGGAAAAACTCAGCGTGTGGAAAGGACAGGAAATATGTTGTTTTGCATTTTTTTTTACTTTCAAACAGTTGTGGTAACAGAGGTGGCATTTCTAGGATGTCATGACAGACTCTTAGAGCAGGAGAGAGGGGAAGGGTGTTGTAAGACACAAACTAATCTGAGCTGCTACCACAAGAAAAAATGGCCCAAGTAATCTCTCATTGATATCTGTGGGAAATTGGCTCATAAATCCTCCTGGATCTTAGAGCATAGGTGAACAGAATTTCATCCACAAAATAATCTGATAGCTTTAACTTTTTGGCTACTTCTAGCCTTAATTTCACTAGGTATCAGAATGGTATAACAAAAGGTCCAAGTCTTGGTCATTCTTACACACATCTATGAAATGTCATGACCGTGAGGGAATGTGAAGGAAGGAAATAGAGATAAAAGCCAGCCTGTGCAGGTGATTATTCCCACACACTTCACAGTAAATGTGCTTTCCTCTTACCCTTCCTGTGCTCAAAGCCTCCTTCAGTAAGAGAAGGCTGCAGGTTGCATATAATGAAGCACAGTAGTATCTCTGAAATGCAGTAAAAATGTCATTACAAGTCTTGCTCTGTATCAGTTGCTGAGTATTCATCCCATGTTCTGTTCTTTCACACTGACTGCTCGTCTTTGTATGCAGAAATATTAAATCAGGGAAGTTACTCTGTGGGTGCCTCGGTAGCTTCGTTAACTGCTTGACCTATTTCTCTCTGCTCACCCTTCTGCCATTTTATGTTTACTTTCAGAAAATCTTCTGGTGGTAAGGATGACTGGAGGAAATTAAGAGTTGATAGATCCTGACTGTGCTGGCACCACAGAGTGAATATGAATTATAAAATAAGAAAAAAAAGAAAATACCCATTCATTTTTGATGAGTTTCAGCAGTGCCAGCTTAGCAAGAGAACTGGCTTGATACCATGGCCATCCACTGCTCCTAACAAATAAATTCAGTAAGGCAGTGTTTTGTCAGTGCTTGTACTTGATCATATTCACCATTTCAGCAGCTCTGCTTGCAGCACAGGCAGTCTCTCACTTGAAATCATCTGAGGTTGTTCCTTAATGGACACGGCCAAAATTTTCCATAGCAATGATACAGACATGGTTGACATGACATGTGAAGGGAAGAATGAAGCTGGGGTGTTTTAGTTTTTGGATTTCTTTCCCCTACACCTCCTTCCCTTTTCCTTCCTGCTTTATGCTTAGATGTTACAACATTTTATAGATGCTGTTAGCTGCAGGTAATCTGACTTGCTGCTTCATGAGGAGCATACACAGTGATTCTCCCAGCAGCTGGGTATAAAGCATCTGTTAACCTTAAGGGCATAACAGAGTAACCACCTATTAATGCCATTTACAGTGAGTAAAAATACCCTGTGATCCATCAGAGGCATCCCCTGGCTAGAGGAAACAAAACCCAGACTAAATGATTGCTTAATTATTTAACCTGTTTATGTTGTGTTTTGCCCTGGCTCGGCACCTACTGTGTCACCTTCACTCCAGACTGATGTATCATCGTGTGTATTTATTTGGAGCCTCTTTGTATTTGTTTCGTCTGTCTTAGCAGGCTCTTGTGTTGCAGATGAGGATCTAAGCAGACATGGATCGAGTGAACACTGAATTTGAGCAGAAGATCACTTGTCACACTTGGCTTCAGTCCTGTGCAGGTAGAGCCTGGATGTTATGGTGACCTATAGACTCTATATGTTGCCTAGAGTCCGAAAATGACTGGTGGGAAGGAAGGATGAGAGAAGACTACAAACCGATGAATGACTAGGGGAAGAGGAGTCATGATTTACTGTTTTCAGACTAGAAGAAACACAGAACCTCAGCAATATTGCCAGGTAGGAAGTCTAGAAACAAAATGAAAGGAAAAAAGTGTAAATACACGATTAAAGTTAGAGAACTCACTGTTATATGGCACTGTGGAGATCATGGCTACAAATTAAACTTAGAAGCTAAGAAGTTCTTGCAGAGGTCCATGGGTAAGTTTTAAACCAGGTGTAGAGTGGAGCTCACACTGTTCCCAGCTGCTTTTTCTGGGAGCCAGCAGGGATCCCTGTTTGTGACAATTCATGAGTGTGGCTGCTGGCAGCCAATTATTGGATTAAATTGCCCATACCCTACCTGGGTGCCAGGGTTTATTTCCTCCCCTCTTGCCTCCCTGACCAGCAGGGTAGTTTGTCTTCCCCATGGCTGCTTGCTGAGTCACAGCAGGCAACTGCAAACTATTTAAAACTGCAAACTATTCCTGTAAGACTTTCTTTACACAAGTAAGTGCTGGTTTAGTTGGGAGGCTGTTAATTAATGGACTCTTGGGACTGACCTTGATGAATTTGACCTCAGCTAAGATGAGCTGAAGCCACTCAGTGGAGAACAAGCTGTCAGGGGTGTTGTAGATATGGCTGGTCCCGCCCTGGGGAGAGAAAATGGTGATTTTCAACCTGTTTTGGTTGACTCACCTAAACATTTTTGAAAAACAAAACAAAAATCAATGCAAATGAAGGCAAGCTTTGAACATGCATCTATTCCTCCCTAATCTCCTCTAATTGTATTCATTTGCACAGGTATGTGTTATGTGTGGAGATGAACAAGACCTTTCTGGTAAATATTTGCAGTGGTTTGTGTGCCCAAGGAGTTTTGTTTTAAGCAGACTTGTGCCATTTCCTAGTCTTGGAAACAGTGGAGGAGGAGAGGTTTCCCACCTCACTGCTCTCCAGGTTGTGCATGCCTGCAGCAAGGCCAAACTGATGGACAGCAAGGATCTGACACCAACAGAAGCAGTTTCATCTCTTTCTTCTGGTTTTTATCTTTTAGGGTGCCCACAGCTCTCAGTGCAGGATGCTGAACCTGGCCTGTAAAAACCATACCAGACAGAAAAGAACAGACTAAATTCTGTTCATGACTGCCAGTGGGAACAGTCACACTTTTGTTTGTCCACACATGCTAAAAGCTGCTACTGTTGTTCTCCAGATGCATTCCCTTCTTTCTGCACAAACTGCTTGCTTGGGACAAATTTACCTTTGAAGGCCTGACGTTGAGCAGTTTGGGGTTTGAAGTCCCTTCATCAAGCTGGTCAACTCAGCCTCCCCAGTAACAGCAAGGGAAAGGTCAAATAGTCAATAGCACAAACTTTCCAAGCATCCTGAGGCAAGAGATTTGTTATTTTCAAAATGAGAAGATTAAACTCATAGATGTGAGACTTGCAGACAGAAATGTCTTATTTCAACATTGACTTGGTTGGCTTTAGGCTGTCCTTAATGATACTGGTAACACTTCAAGTTGTCATTGCAGCAGATTGGTGGAATACAGTCAAGTTTATACTTGACCACATCAAAGTCTGATTTTTTTTCACTTTACAGCCACTGTTTTGAAAACACAGTCTAAGTTTCCAGTCTGAAATACTGGGTGGTTAGAAAGGACAGAGGCATGGTCGTGTTGTAGAGCTCAGTCTTACTCTGCTGGACTCGAAGTCCACTGTTGCTTCTGGCAGTGATGGGCCTCCAGCTGCAGTGTTGTGCTCTGGAAGATATTGTGCTGCTGTACAAACCCTGCTCCCTGAGCAGTGGGGTCGGCTGTATGATTTGATTGCTTCAACAGATCTGTTTCATCAACAAGGCTCTGCAGACTGGGACTGCCCTGGTATTTCTTGTTAGATATTCTGGAGGTCATTTTTGTTCCCAGTGCGTGGTGGGAAACCAATCTTTTCAAAGATTCTATTCCAATACAGTGGCTGATAGTTTCCTGGCAGTCCTGTGGCCCTTGCAAGCAAGAGGCAGGAAGGGGCTGCCTGCCCGAGTGTCTTGGGCCAGTGACACAGGAAAGGGGTGCATGGGCTTGTATCAGTCACCCAAAATTATTGAGAATCCTGCATATGTTGACTACAACAACAGAGATGCTTTTACAAAACCTATTCTTGCCCTGTCTTGTAGTCCTTGTGGATTTAAGCACAAAGAGCTCCATTGGAAGACTTGGATCAAGTTTAGGCTTTAAGGCACTTTCTGAGTGCTGTGTTGGAAATAGCAGTCAGGCTGAAACATGCATTAAAGAAATGGAATTAAAGTTTGAACTTTGGTTAGAGCACTCTACCAGAGAGGCTCTGAGGACTCCAGGGCTTGCAATGGGTTGCCAACTTCTACAGAGTCTGTCTGTGATTGTTACATTTTTTCCATTTGACAAGGTCTGGACATTTTTTTTGGGAGACCTTAGTGCAAGTGTAACAGACTTTGACAGCAGCGGTTCAAGAGGTAAGTTGGAAAAGAAGTGACCTTGCTGGTTTGCTGCTCAGAAGTTTTGTTGTTTGCTTCTCTGGTAAACAAGTCTAAGTCTTTTCTGCAAGTTCAGAATTGGCTGTTGTCCATAGAAGGACTTTTGACTGTGCTTAACTGCACTCTCCTTTCCTCTAAATTTTTTTTGCAAGATTACAGGATTTTGTCTATAAAAAAAGTCATTTCCTATCCTATCAGTGCTCGGTCCGCTATTATTGAGAAGTGGAATGAACAGAGCAATATAGAGCAAAGGATGATTCCTCTCTAAATTCTGGAAGTACAGTTTGATTTTTGGCCTTAGATCACAGCAGTTAAGGGTTTTGGGATATTATGTCACCCTGAAGTTATCCTGGGAAACACTGACCTGGTGGTATTTCCTTCCTTCCCTGATGCCTCTTTTCTCCATTTGTCACTGGCTTGCACAGAGAAATGGGACAAATGAGAGAGGTGGTTTTGATTCCATAAATGTGCTGTCAGTCCTGGAGAAAGCAGTGTGGCAAAGGGGTTTCAGGGAGAGAGCTGTGATTAGGGTTAAACGATGTCAAGTCACAACCACTAAAAGCTGCAATGTGGGCAAGTTTCTAGAGAATAATGATAGGAAGAAATCATGGTTTTATGGCACTTTCAGAAAAATTTTTGATTGCCTTTCAGTCTTGTTTGATGCTCACATAATGAAAACCTTGAAGAACACCATGGCTGGCCTGGAAAAATTGCTTTCAATCTCGGATTGTGAGTTTATTTTTCTCCTCATCGTTTTTCTAGTGAGTGTTACAGTAACAAAGTATATTATAGAAACTCCTGGAAGGGAACAAGGAGAAACAAAATCCATCCTGAGTTGCCAATTATTTCGAAATGTACTGGTTTGGTACCTAGAAAACAGAACCTCACAGAGCCTTTTGCATTGAGAGCCTTTTACCATGTTATTTCTAACACAGTGCTTAGTTAACAAAACTTTTGATAGCTGTACTCATACCTGCTTTGGAGATGGAGTGCCAGCTTCAGAACATGATGTCACTGAAGATGGTGTTGCAAATTCCCTTTGGGAGAGCTGACTGAGCACCCATAAGATTGGTGCATTTCTGGGCACACCCCAAAACAGACATGAAACATTTAAGCAGCTTCACTGTAGGTTTGCAGTACTTAAGTTTTTTCTGTGTCTGCTTAAGAATGACTGACTGATGTTTTCTGAAATTTAGTCTCTATATCTCCCATCAAAATCCAAAGGGAATTAGCAACAAAAATATTCTTTATCCATCTACTTAACCCATGAGGGAGCCTTGCAAAAGGCTGAATTTTGTCATTTTTGGGGTAGTGAAAATGGAAATAAAAACATAAATATTTGTCCAGGTTGAACACAGCAAGTCAGTGACAGTTCCTCCTTTCCTGGGACCAGTGTTGTTAAATCAACCGAGTGCTCATAAAGCTGCAGAAGTGTAAATTGATTACTCCTGGGGTGCTGATGGTTGCATGCCATGTGGGAACTCTGATTGGATGTACAGGAAATTTAAAGTTTTGGCATCTTGTCCATCATTTTAATGGCACCAGAGTTATGCATAGATGAGGAGAAAGTTATCTACTGAGCTGGAAAATATCCTGAACTGATACTTTTTCTGCATGAAGACCAATTCAGCTGTTGACTTGCTTTTGTTATCAGTTCATCTGGCTTTATGAATATAGGTAATTTAATTCCCTCCATGTAATGTACTTGATAGAACTTGATAAAGCTAAATGGATATTCTGCTTTATGGATCTCTGCTGAGTAGAACTGGAAAAGGTTTTAGTTAAGTGTTGAATAAACTCATAATCCCCCAACAGAGAATTCTGTAAATGCTCACATTTTGTCATGCTTTTCCCAGCAGAGAGGGGGTATTGAAAACAGGGCACTGGCATAACAATTCCTTAGGAAATTGCTTGTAGAAGTCACTCTGTTCTTAATGTGGAAAAATAGCAGAGAGGCAGACAAGAGCTTTCATTATCCATCTCTGCCAGAGACCTGCACTTCTGCAGATTCACTGCACTGAGGGTGGAAATCTCTTGGGTTTGTCTTTGATGGCGAGCTCTGAAGCTGTGAAGACAGATGTGCTCCACCAAGAAATCATGCACCTTAATGCCAGGCTTCAGAAACTGCCAGAGTATCTTATATAGGGGATTTCAATAGCAGTGATGGCTGGAAATCACACCTTAACAGAGTACCAGATACCTCATACAAGCACTGTATTACATAGGTACGTGGTCAGGTGGAGGTTGTGATCACATCTAGCAAGATTATGCAGCCTTTTAGGACATGGAGATTACTTGGGGACCTTGGGATCTTGGGGTAAATGTGTGAAAAGGCCACTTCAGTAAAGCCTTTTTGCAAGGGGTCTTAGAATTACTGTGTCATTAGCTACTGTTACCTTTGGACATGAATTTTTTTACACAACTCAAAGTACCTGCTGCTTTCCTTCCACTTGGGCTCCTGCCTCTTGTCCCCTTCCTTAGGGCTGCACTGAGTGTACCAGCCTTGTCCTTCCCATCTCTGCTCCGTGGCAGTTGTCTGGGCTGTAGGGATAACTGAGACCTTTCTCTCTGCCCAGAATTGTATTTTATTTTGCTTATTGCGAGTTCAGGGACAGCTCTTTCTGCCTCATGTGGTTTTTGGCATCAGCGCACTCAACAGCCAGACAAAATGATCTCAAATATGATGATGGCTTTTAAAATCTGTGAAAATCTGTCTGGAAGAGTGGCTTTCTCACAGTAATTGATGACAGAAATTTAGCCTGAGAGACCCCCATCATGGGGAATTTACACTTAGAGTGTCATGAAATACATAGGTGGTTTTTGTGAGAGGTAAGTGCAGATAATCGATAAGGCCTTTCCTGGCTGATGGTTGAATTCAATATCTTTTCTATGGCTTCTCTAATATGCAGTCACAAATTATAGCTTAAAGAGATTTTAGGCTGTAACAAAATCTTCTTGTTCAAATATGTAACTATTTCCAGGACCTGCAGAAAGCAAAGAGGGAAGGGAATGCGAGAAGAGATGGGAAATCATAAAAGTGGTGAAAGAGGAGGGAACCTGGAACACCTTTAATTTTCCCTGGGGTTGATAGTCATGTAAAAAAGTGTCCCCATCGGGAGGCTGGTGACGAGCCAGGGGAGAAAAGTGCCAGGGAAGAGCTCTGCCTTCCCAAAGCAGAGCTGAGAAAGCAAGGCAGGAAGAAAGGAACTTGCCATGGCAATCCTACATTATTTTATGGCAGTCTCTCTCTCCAAATGTGTTTCCGATACCAGCATTGAACAGCTGCTTCATTTCAAGAAGTAAAATGTTTTCTGGGCAGAGGGTAAAAAAAACTTAATGCATGCATTTACATAAAGTCTGAAAAATGTGGTTGAGTATTAAATCAGACTTGTCTTTTTTGTTTGTTTGTTTTGATGCATGTGATGTGTTTTCCACTCGAGTAGTCTAAAGCAGTTCCTGTGAAATACATGAGCCTGTCTGGTTGGTACCACAAGAGACTTACATTCTTTAGCTTACAACCTGCTGGAACTCTGAAAAAGAAATTATTTAAAGGGTGACAGATATTTAGCCTGTTCTGTGAGGCCTGGCTCAATAAATAAGTAGAGAGAAAAATGAGAGGAGAGACTTCAGTGGGGACTAGAGAAAATGCGATGTTGTTTTGAATGAAAAGTGTTAGAGACATATTAGGAGATATTGGTTTTTCTAGATGGTTATATAAAACCAGCTGAAACAAATTCTCAGAAAATGAAATGCTAATATGCTGGTACAAGAAATAAGATTAAATTACTTTTTGTGATTAAACTTAGATAAATTAAAACAGTGTATATTAACAAAGCCCTTGAAAATCAAGGACTGAAATTTTTTCAGAACATTGAGAAAAGACATAGCATGATACCCTTGGGCTATTTAATTTCTTGTATCTACTGAGCTTTGTGAAAAGATGACTTTTTTGTTGTTGTTGACATTTTTTGGGTCTGTCTGAATTTGTTTCTGAAAAACAAGTGGGATTTTTTTTTGAGGGGGAGGAGTGTATATTGGGAGGTGTTGTTTTTCTCTTTCCACAATTTAGATGAGACAAGTAATGGAAATAAAACCAGAGCACTGAGAGGTATTTGTTGCTGGCTCAAATTGGTCTCGGCCAGAATCTCACTGGTGAATTAGGCACTCAGTAGACCAGAGTAAATGAGTTTTTTGGCTTGATTATATCTGAGCAGACAATCCTTACATTTTTTTTTTTTAACCTGGCTATATGGTAAGCCAATGCAGATTGATTAATTAATTGTTAACACTTAATGAAGAGCGAGCTCAGGATCTAAGAGAGTGTTTGAAGCAATGATTTTTACACAGTACCAACTTGCTTGTAGTAATGCCATGCAAAATGCAAATGGAAAATGACTTTATGACCTTTAGCAGAGTTATTCAGTGCCAGCTGGTTCATGAGACTACAACTTTAGGGTCCAAAAGGCTGAAAACTGAATAATTAAACAGAAAAGCTCTGAGAAAACACATCTAAAATTTCTTGAGTCACATCTTACCACTGAAGTGCCACACCTAAATTGGAACCCTCTCTTTCAAGTGGGGACTCCAGTCACTGCTTTATTGAAAACCAGACAAATCCCCGTTGCAAAGAGGATATCATGCTTAGGTGACCTTGAAGTGCTTAAAAATTGTGTGCAGCAGAAGGAAAACCTTCATTCATTTTCTTGTTTGTGTGGATGGATTTGTGCTTGTCAAGTATAAGCCCCAAAGCACCTCTCTTCTCAACAGTGGTGAAAGGGGTCTTGCAATTTGATTTCTAGGAGACTTTGCAGTGGAAGATGCTTCCTGCAGGTGCACTGGGGCTGACAGCTCTTAGAGCTTTTGCATTTTGCCACTGTCTTGTTTAAAAGATTGTCTGTTGGACACAAGAAATGCTTTAGATTTGGAAGCTTTTCAAGGAGAGGCAGCATGGTAAGTGCCTGTTCTCTGTGCTTCTGATCTGCTGCTCGATGACTTTTTCAATGATTTGGATTGTGGCCCCCTTATCAATGAAGTAGTTTCTCATGAAGGAGCAGGCACCTTGAGGATTTCCTCTTGGATGTCCTGCTTAAAGGAGCATTTCTGTCTCCAGTGTGGGCCACACAGAAAATCAGCAGAAGCTGTGCACCCAGCCTAGTGTAGTTAGGGCTGCTGTGACCCTTCTGGTGACAAGGACAGACCTGTCCTGCTGACAGATCCTGTGTGTATCACAGTGCTTTTGCTTTTTTTCTTATTCTACTGAACAGAACTCTTTGTAAAAAGTGCTTTTTGGTGGGTTTTTCTATTTTCTAAAATTTTAGGCATTTACCAAGATGCAACAAGTTGTAAGGCAAGTTGTCATGTGCAGAGATAAATCAGCATATATACATGGAATAAATGCACAGTCTCCTGCCCAATATTTTTCCTTGGATGCACTCAGGGGTGCTCTTATCCTATGTCTGTCTTATATCTTGCCTCAGACATGCAGCCAACTTGCTCTGCCAATCCCTTTACAGCTGTATTTCATTCAGGATGAAGGCCTTAGGCAGGGCAAGAGGAATGTTGTAAAACATTTAATGACAGCCATCTACTCTAATGGTGTTGCCTCTGGGTGCCTGCAGCTGTGTGACTGCTCAGTGTGTGTCAATGTTTATATTTATTTTGAAACACTTAGAAATATGATTAGCTCTGAGCCCTCTATCAAATTTATCTGATGTTGGCTCAGTTGTTTCCAAAGTTGTTGCAGGCTTGGGAGAAAGTGACAAGGAACAATGGTCAAACAAACAGCATGGAATTGCATGGCTTAGGCCTCGTTTCCCCAAGGCTGGCAATAAAAAATTGATTTGGGGTATGTATCTCCAAAGATTTGTTGGCACACGAGCTGACAATAAATACATGGTCTTCGATCTGACATTAAATTTACATTGAAAGGGAGCTTTGGAATTTGTATAGTCCAACCCAGGATTAGCTTTAAAGCGAGGTCTGTTTGTTCAGGGGCTTGTCCAGCCAAGTTTTGAACATCTCCAGGAATATCCTCCAGCTTTGCTGAGCAGTCTGTTCCAGTGCTTAGCTGCTGTTGCTGTAAATACTTGTTTTCCTATTGCTAGTCAAAGTTTTCCTCTCTGCAGCTTGTGCCAATTAGTATTAATCTCTTTTACATCCAAATCAATGACTGCATTACAAGCATGCAGAGACAGCTGAGGAGCAGGAGAGCAAATTCTAACTTTGGCTTCTTTATTATGCCATTACAAATGAAAAGACATTTCATTTGGCTGTGAGCAAATGTAATGAAAAAATGAGCTCATTTCTCAGAAGAGAAACAATCCAAGTGTTTCGCTTAGAAAATGCGTAAGCAGCTAAGTTTGACTAAGGACAAAGAAATCCTTGCAGCACAAGGAGGAAGTGGAGCAGTAAAACTGGGATGAGGCCCATGAGGTACCACCCTGTGCTTGTGTTTGCACACTCTGTCTCCCTTGCTCTCATCTCGGCCCTTTGGATTGAGTTATGACACGCAGACTTCATGTCATTTACATTTAAAGTCACTTAAAATTTTCTGATTCCAAGTTTTCTGAAAAGGGAATGGGTTCTCACAATAGTTCAAAATGGATTAGGAAATTCTGGATGTTTGAACAGGGAAAACAAAGCATTATAGAAAAGGGAATCTATCATATTTCTTTTGTCCTCACTGCTGCTGTGAGGATTTGATATATGGGTTTGCAACAGCTTAGAGAAAGTATTCTCCATACTTTTTATGGAATAACTTACTCCTGGACTTCTTGGCTGTCTCACTGTTATGGATGCCTCATGAACGAGTGAGTAATATTGTAGTGATAGCAGGGTAAGAGAAAGTGGGGAGAAATATGGAGGTCACAATTTTCATGTGCATTCTGGAAAAGCTCTCACTGTAAAAAGGGAAAAAGCTGTTTTATTCCCTCCACATCAGTGTCTGCTATCTTCAAAAGGGTCTGGCTGCATCTTTGTTTTTCTCTGTGTGAGCAAAGATGTCAAATTCACAAATGTCAATAAGTTGTTTGTGTTGCCTCATATTGACTGAGCAGGTATAAGCCAAGCTTCAGTGAGCATTATAAATGAGTAGAGATGATTTCCTGCTTGGTGTGTATCCAAAGCAAACTGCAAATAATGGTGAACATTTGATTTAATTTTATTTCCCTCCCTTGAATTTTACTAAATAACTTGTCACAGATTTGTGCTGATTGCTGTAATGAAACTGAACACAAATGATGCAAGTGCTTACTGATGGCAATGCAGGCTGCTAATTTGGAGAGTGTAAGGGAAAGTAACCAACATAAAAAGTAACCAACATATGGCTCTAAATTACAGACCTAACAATAAATGGCAAGCTCTTAGGACCATCAGGATTCTTTTTTTTTTTAATTCCAATGTGTTTCTTGAGCTGTCCACTTAAACCTGACTGTATCAAGAAAATTCCTAGGATATCTGCCAAGGAGTTACTGACTGGTTTTCCTTTCTGTAGGTTCCCCTCCAACTCTACATTGTACCATGCCTAGTTCTCTTTTTGTTGCCATGATGCTGGCAATTCCTGCCGGGTTGGAATGGATAATCCAAAATTCAATTCCAGACAAAGAAATCAGATTCTTTTGGACTATATGTAAAGGCAGCTGCTTTAGTGTTTCATTTCAGGAAGACATTGTAGGGAATTGGCTGGTTGGGATAGAACAGGCTTAAAAGGATGAGGACAGAAATGTCTCGGGGAATCTGCAGGAGTTAATGATGTTGGTCTGAGAGGATGTCACACAGTATTTCATAGAGCAATGAGCAGCCTGCCCACTTATCTGCTTGCTTGCATCTGTTGAGGAAAGTGCAGATTTTCCCTTGTGCTCCTCTCCCTTGGCACAGGCTTTGTGTAGGATCTGTTTCAGTTCTGCACAAAGATACAAAGATAACATTGAAGTCCTGCACTCTGACTGGATGTGTTTCTTTGGTTTTTAATCAGCAAAACCTTAAATGCAGGGGGTTCAAGTCTGGTGCATGGTTTTAAAGAAAGCTGATCTGGAAAATGGTTATTTAAGTGAAGAAGTTTTTTGGGGAGCATGTTCTGTCAGACTCACTGGCTTACTGGAAATGTCATCTTCTGGTGTGAGACCAGTGTGGAGTCAACAGCCTCTTGGTAATTCAGATGCTTTCTGTATCCTAGTCTTGTTTTTTAATATGGAAGGAAGAGACTCTTGAATCTCTGTCAGGTCTCTGTTTTGCATATGGCTCAAAATAAGAGTGCAATCAATTATTTAGTAGCCACATCATAAAGGGAATGTATTTTCTGAGCCTTTAGAATGTTATGATTGAACATTACAAGGCAACTGATTTGTCAGCACGGCAGAAGAGAAGGAAAGTGGCTCTACGTTTGAAAATTGCTCCTTGGAGTTTGCATCAGAGCATTCCTGAGCTTTGTGTAATTCAATAAATGACTTGGACACATGAAAATTGAGGCTGAGTTGCCTCCAGTGGTATTCAGAGTAAACCTGTCTCGAGAGGAGAGGAAAGCAGACAGACATCCATAGGTGGGGACTGCTGGTTGCTGAAGGGATAAATGCTGCCAGCATGCTGCACTCTCTGAGCTGGGCCTCAGGAGACTGAGCTTCCCCTACATGGAAACACCTGGCATCTGCCAAAGGCCTTTCTGCTCCCAATCTGCCCTTGGGGACACTGGCTGTAATGATAGCAGTGTTAGCCTGCATGGGCTCTTTTTAATCTTGCAGGGATTGAGGGCCCTGGGGAGACCAATTGTTGTAGATTTACATGGGGTATTTGAAGATATTAGGAACAAGTAAAGGTTTGAATGAAAGCAGTCAAAATGAAGGAATTATTTGTACCAGGAACTTTGTGCTGCAGAGGTTTAGAACAGTTCTCAGCTACTGTGTCCCTTTGAGAAAGCCTCTTCCAGAAAGTCCCTTAGAAAAGGTGTGATGAAAAAATATAACTATATATATTTTGGAGGACCACATCCTGGCTGAGATTTCATGGAGATTCACGGTCTAATGAGGAAAAAGTCACAGGGTTGCTTCAGAGATTTCAAGTTTGAAAACACTCCAAGCATAAAACTGCAAAATAGGATGGAACTCAGGCTCATGAGATATCAGCCTAATGGAAAAACTGGAATATTTTGCCTGTTCATTGCTACTTCAAGGCACTGGCAATGAAGCATGGAATTAGAGGCCAAACTTCAGTCTCATGCATATAAGTTCTTATGCCTTCAAGAAACAATTATAAGGTGGAAAAATTGAGGCATCAACTTTATTGCTTAGACATCTTTCCAGGATTTTTCAAACTATTGTCCCCAAAACATCTGTTACAGCAGCATTCAAAATCTTCATGATTGTGTGCATCACTCATCCCCTGGGTGTCACTTCAGCTGCAGACATTTTGCATAGTAAACAAAGAGGTTTTTTCTTGCCCTGTGGCTCCAATTATCTTCTGCGATGCATAAAGGAGCAAAAATCCTTTGGTGTAAAGTAGAGTTGCTATTTTATCCAGGCTTAATTAAAAAACCCCAAACCCTAAACAAACAAAAACCCACCCCAAAAGTCAATTCCTCTCTATCTTAGAGGAGAAATTTCTAAATGCTAATGTGTGACTAAAGCCATATCCAGTCACATCCTATTAAGGCATCCTACAAAGCAGGAGACAGGCACATCAGAGATTTTTATGCAGAGGCAATCAGGATATAGCTGCAGATCCCTTTTCAGCTTTGTCATGTGCATTGCTCTCTTTTGTGCAGGTTTAAACTATCTTGTCATTATTGTGGCCTTGGTTACTTGTTGCCATGCCATCCATAACAGCTGTCAACTCTGGAATTATTTGGTCTGGCCAAAGTGATGTTTATTACTCAGGGACCAGAGCTGCTGATGGCTGGGGATTAGAGGATCCTGGGCACTCTGGTTGGTGTAACTCAGCAGCATTTGGGATGTAATGTGGGTGCTTCAGAAAAGCTCTGCAGTGATAAAACGTGAGAGCTGGGCTGCAAGATGTTATCCTGTGTAACTTTCTGAAGTGGGGGTTTGGTTTTCATTCTGGCTCTTGAGCTTTGAGCTGCCATCAGAGTGCTGGAGTAGAAGGGGAATTGTAATGCTGTCTTCCCTACGTTCTACCACAGTGGTTGTTCTGCATTTGTTCTGAGAACTTTTTGTTGACAAACCCCACTGATGCCCTTCAGACACCTGAATCTGAGTGTGCTTTTCAGGCTCCACTTGTGCTGCTGGCTGGATTTCAGCCTCTGTCCCAGTCTGTGTTTTTTCTGATCTTGACAACTTTTTTTTCTCTGGTGCTTGCAGAGATGTTGCCAAAATTGATCTGCCTAATCCTTTTCTGCTGGAGTTCCTTCCACAGCTTCAGCCAGTACTTGAGCAAGGCATGACTTCTTTTGCTGCTTAGTGGTGGTGTTTAAAAAACCCTTGTTCTGGGACTTAAACCAAACAAATGAAATGCAATTAAACAACTGATGGATCCATGCATGGTAACCCATGTGTCCCAAGAACAAATAAACTTTGTAACACGCAGGGGAAAGGTACAATTATAAAGAAGCTTATTTTCCCTGCTGTTATCATGCAGCAGGAGGTTGGTGCTTTTTCTCTTGGTTTTGTATGTCTAAAGTAATTTCATCATGTTTAGCAATTATTCAGGCTCCCAGTTGTCATAGGGGTTGGAGAGAGAATTAAGCTTATTCTCCATAGCTATTCTGCACTTTCAGAAAAATATCTCTTTTTTCAAAGTGGTTAAATACAGGATCCTCAGGACCTGCAAGGTTTTCTAAATTCAGATGAGGGGATTTTGTTTGGGTACTTTGTAGACCAGTGAGTAGTTTGCTGCCATGCCATGGGGTCAGTGTGCTCTTGGTTTTGAAGAACAACTTGGGGAGCAGCTAAAGAATCTTCTAGTACCCATTCATATGTGCTCAGTTGCAGAGAAATGTAAAATATTCAGCATTTCCTTTTATGTTGGGACTTCATCATTTAACGTGCTAGAGAAACACGAGCAACGTGGAAATGAAAGATCTTGTCTTAAAAAGAAGGACTTTTTCAATAATGAGAGAAAATCATCATGTCTATATTTGGTTGACTTGTTGAAATATAGACAGTTTTACTTCTAATATTGAAAATGTGATACTTTTGGCTATTTAATTTACTGTTTACTGATAAGAGGTGTGTACACGCTTCTGGCTGTGGGGGGACTGCCAGTTTGCAAAGCTAATTAATGTGTGAGTAGATCACTTGTAGATAGGAGTAATAGCTCAGGGCCAGAGATCTTACCATTTTGTCAGAAAACCTTACAGTTAGCTAAGAAGAGTGCAAAGTAACACATAACAAAAATAATCCAAGTGAGGAGATGATAGCTCTGAGGCAGAAATGTGGAAAATAAAGTAAAGCAAAGAGAAACTTAGGGATGAGTGAGTAGATGGGAGCTGGGGTGTCCTGTGACTGCAATAAAAGGCATTCTGGCTGCTCTGGGAACCTTGTTACCAACAAGGGAACAAACTCTTATTCTGCTGATACAGAAGGCTGGATTTTAGATGTCATCTAGACAAAAGATTTTTGGCAAACAAGATGGAGACTTAACACCAATTGGAAGGTCGTGAAAGAACTGATGTGTTACAAATATTAAACAAAAGATAGATGAAGAATTTATTTATTTGGCTACAGACAAAATAATGGGATGAAATCAAGCCAGGTACAACAATTTGGATTAAATTTTTTTATGGTGAGAGATACTGGCTTAAGTGGATTCCTGGGAAACACTGAATCCTCATTGCTGGGACTGTTTTAGAACTTGTAGGGATAAAAAGCTGATAAAGGTCCAATAAAGAAAACCATTTTTTGTTAAGAGAGAGAGATGCTGTAGGTCTGTGATGAGGACTTTTTCCTGTTTAGGACAGTAAAGGCAGCCTAAATGAGAAATGCTTTATTGGTTCAGTCTTATTCCTTCATTGCTCCATGGCTTCATTTTTAGAGATGTCTGGAGCAGAAAGGCCACATGCAGTGACCACTCTGAGGCTGCCAGAATACCTGAGAAATAACCCCAGCAGGTGCCAGCAGCTCAAGGCCATCCTACAGGGACTGCTGGCTATCTCAGTGGGGGAAGATTTTTTTAATGCAGCTCTAACAAGGACCACAGTTAAAATTTGTTACCCTGACCACTTCTTACCTGCTCTCATTTCCAAATGGGATTGTGCTCATTGTACTGGTGCATGAAAGCCCTAATGCTGGAAGCCTGTTTTTAACACACAGTGAATGTGTCTGTTGGGAAGGTTGCCCCTTGTAAGCTCTGCTGGTAGTGATGAGTGGCTGTGCCACCAATCAAATTGATCAAGTGTTTAGTTATGTGTGGCTTGAACTTTATGATGTTGCTCTGGAGTGAAGTGACAGCCTTTCCATCTGAATGTTTTATTACCAGCACACTGAGGTGTTATTTAGTGATGTGACATTTACCTCTTTAATGGTATTCTTAGGGCAGTGACCTCGTGATAGTATTCAGGATCTCTTCCTTTACGGGAAGCTCATTGATGGTGCATTAAGAATGCACCAAAGTTGAACTTTTTTCAGTTCATCTGTTCTAGAACCTTCCTTCTACTTTTCCTTCTGAAACACTTTGACAGAAGTGATGTTTTCCTTTGTTGTAACTGTAAGCACAAAGCCTGTACCTGGTGCAGGAATGTAAACAGCCCCCTGTTCCAGTTCTGCAAGTTGGAATTCTTCCCCAGTGCTGCAGTAATGTGATTTGAGCAGTCATTAGCATGTTATATAGTTCTTCTTTTTCCTTTCTAGCCCCTCTTGGGAAGATCCAACAGCCTGTGAATGTACCTCCCATTGCATCTTAGAGCAGTTTGTTGATTGTTATATTTATTTTGTTTTGCAGAAAACTGTTTATGTAATTTCACTTAGCCTGGGCTATTCTATCCTTGAGGGGGAACACTTCAACTTGAATTATTTGCTGAATTAATCTCAAGGTGTGTTTTTAATTCAAGTCCCATGTTTAATTTAATACTGGGTGTATTAGCTTGCAAACTTAAAAATAAAATAAAAGGAAATGTTGGGTTTGTTTTTTACCTAGGTATGTATTTGGTATTCTTGTCCCCAAAGCCCATCCCTCTCCCTTTTTTTTTCAGTTTTTTCTCTTGTATCATCTTTGACACAAATCAGAAAATCACAGAATAGCTTTGAAGATTATCTTGTTCCACCCCCTACCCTGGACAGGGACACCTTCCACTAGACCAGATTGTTCAGAGCTCCATCCAACCTGGTCTTGAACACTGCCAGGGATGGGGCAGCCACAGCTTCTCTGGGCAACCTGTGCCAGGGCCTCAGCAGCTTCACAGGAAACAATTTCTTCCTATTATCTAATCTAAGACTTGCCTCTCTGTCAGTGTGAAGCCATTCTCTAGTATCCTGTCACTCCAGGCCCTTGTAAAAAGTCCCTCTCCAGCTTTCTTGTAGGTTCCCTTCGGGTGCTGGGAAGATGGCAATTAAGTAACCCCAAAACCTTCTTGCCTCCAAGTTGAAAAATGCCAGTTCTCTTTCCCTTTCCTCACTGTTCCATCCCTCTAATCATCTTGCTGACTGGCTCCAACAAGTGAAAAAACAAAGCCCTTCCTGTGCTGGGACCCCAGAGCTGGATGCAGCACTGCCGGTGGGGCTCACCAGAGCAGATTAGGAGGATTTTGTTGCATCAGAGGAAACAGCTCATTAGTTTGTAATAGTTAAGGTTGGTTTGTGATTTGTATGAACCACAGAAGGAAGGGCTAGATCTGACTGGAGCATAATTGTGCCTTGAGCATCTCATTCTGAAGGCAGTGCAGAGAGTGAAGCTCTGTGGCAAGGAGCTCACAGCAGGCAGTGATCTCTGTTTATCAGGCTCACATAGGACGGCTCCCTTGGCGCAAAGAGGTGTCCTCTTTGCCACCTCTGGCTGTAAATACTGAGAGAGGAAGAGCAGAGGAGGAAGGCAGGTGGTCACAGACTGCTGGCTCTCACTGGTTTGGGCTGCTGTAACAGCACTTTCTGTTACAAATCACAATCCATGTGATTTGGCACATGGCCCTAATCTGAAGCGGGCTGCAATCTTTTAGTAATTGCCTAAAATGAATTAAAAGTAGCAAGCCCAAGATAAGGAAAATGTTCCCCTGGAAGCCATAGAAAGCCCTTCTTTAGTATTGCTGTAATATTCTGATAATGGATTAACCAGGGCTGTTGTGTGAAGCGTTTGCCCAGTCCCTCAAGGATGGACCGAGTGCCTTATTTGCAAATGAGATGATGAGGTGCTTTCTGCATGTATTTCCTTCCAGACTGGAGGCTGACCTGGAGCTCTGCCACAGAGTTTTGCTGTGAGAGAGAATCTCTTGCTGAGGGTGAATTTCGGTGAGTCCCAGCACTTTTTCTGTCCCCTTCAGGCAGGTGATAGAGAGTTTTCTGAAAGTAGAATGAATTGCATTTTCCTTGGTCAGTGCCAGTGTTAGAGTGAGATTGGAAACACATCCAGCCTCAAAGGTTATGGACAGCTGCTAAAGCCAAGCCTGGGATGGGAAAGGGAGGTGGGACACCTGCTGCATTCAGTTCAGGCTTTAGAGGAATCTCCTGTGTACAGGAAAACTGAATATGGAATGCAAAATATCTCTGTGACACCCATTCATTTAGCCCTCTTCTGCTCATGTGCCAAATGCAGCGTAGGAAGGGGAGTGGCTTCCTGATGAGCATTTCCCAAAGGACTCAGTTGCTTCACAGGATTTTATTAGTTACAGTGAGTTGGAAAATGGTAAAATCCTCCCAAAAAGCCATAGGGTCCTCATTTTGTGCATTAGGCTGTGTACAAAACCCAAATGCCACAGGGCTGCTTCTGACTTGGGATGTTGTCATGGGACATTAACAATTCTGCCTGGGAGTGCTTGTAAGGGAAGAAAGAGATGGTGCTTGCTGAGAATAGGGAGAGAATTTCAAGTGGGGAAAATGTAAGCACCAATTTTTTGGTCGAGAATGGTGAGCTCTGGAAGAAGTGGAGGGGAGTTTTAGGACTCCAGATGGCTGAAATATTGATGTAAATTATGCATCATTTATGTGAAAAGAAAAAAAATGGATGTTTTCTTTCAGTAGCTAAAATCCCTCAACCACCTCTCAGGTTGTGTTCGATGCTGCCTGCTGAATTAGGATGACAGCATAAGTGGCAGAGGATATTTGTGGTTTGTGGGGAATTTACAAGGGATTTCAGAGCAGCCTGGGTTTACAGTAAGACACGAACAGCTCTGCTTTCCCTGCAAGTGGGAGGACGGTCTCTTCCCAGAGCTTTCAAACAAGAGGTAGGGGAGGAAATCGAGCCTACATACTGTCTGTGACTAAAGAAAGGAAGCTAATGAGCATTCGTGGAGGGAGGCATGGGGTTAGATTCACCCTGTTTTCAGAACAGCTGTTTAGGTTTTGGTTCTTTTTCATGTAAACTTGTGGGTTGCTGTGATTAATCCCAGGCTTTTTGCTCTGCTCAGTGCCCTAATAAACATATAAATTAGCTCATTCCCTAAATGTTCCTTCATTAGCAATGAGCTCAATTAAATAAAAAAGTACTAAATACAGGTTCACTTGAAGCCTCTGTTGCTCGCTCTTGGACTGCTCAACTTCCAGGCTGGAAATTGCTCACCATCTGCTGTGATGTGATTGATACAAAGCAGGATCTGCTCCAGATCTGCAGTTTATCAATTTCTTACTTTTCTAAATCATTGAAGACTTGTACGTGCCACATCTCTTAGAGGAGCAAGAGTGAAGCTTTCCAGGTGGCACGAGAGGGTTGGTGAGGGCACACCCCGAGTGCCCTGCTGGGAGCTGAGCAACTGTGAAGCCCAAATGCTGTGCCTCCCAGAGCTGAAATTGCCAAAAACCCACAGGTCTCGTGTTTTGTACCTTGCCAATCAGTCACTCAGTGCCCAGTTAGTGATCCCTCTGTCCTTCAGGTACCGATTTACACTTGTGCAGTGTGGCTGTCAAATATCTCAGCTCTTCGTGGTTTATAGTCATACAAATAATTACACAGGGTACAGAGAAGTGGAGAGCTGGGACAAAATGTGTGCCAGTCCTCCCACAGTGCTAGTGCTGCCAGGTTAGGTAGACAAACCTGAAATAAAAGATTTCTTGAAGGTGAATGCAGGAACAACACTTTTTAACTCTGTGATTGTGACTTTGATGCTTGTAGTCTTCCTCTGAATTTTCCATACTTCTGTCTTTGGTTGGTTTTGTCCTGCATTTATAGTGAAACATGATGGAAAAAGAAATCAGTGGAACAGATTCTATGCTAACTCTTTCTATTGTGAAAACAAGCAAAATAGTTTTTTGAATCTGTCACTCTTAGAAATAGTTTAAAATAACCTGATTCCATCTAAATTATGTTAAAATAGTGTTGTTCTGTTTTTTCTATTCTATGTAATCTTACATAATTTTCAAAGACTTTGTGTCCACTTCTATATGCCAATTTAACTCACTAGTAAAATGAAATCCACTTACAGTCTTGAATTGAAATAATAGTTCAGTTCTTCTGAGAAAAGATTAAGGTATTTCTTTTAAGATGGAAGTTTTTGTTTGTTTGGCTGCTGTTGATGATGTTTTAATTCAGAACAGAAGAAAAATCAATATTAGAATTTCTCATATGTCAGAAGATCCAGCTTTTTAAACAACTGAGGTACTTACTTAGCCTTTCAATTAAGAGTCTCAGAATACTGTGGTTATCAATTGTAAAGCTTAGTGTTGGTGATGTATCTTATTAAAATGGTTAATGTGGATCTTCTCAATTACGTTTTAATTGAAATTAATCTGGAAACATCTACATGAAGGGCATGGTGAAATATCCTTCCCAAGGCTGCCATTTGCTCACAGCCAAATCCAGGTTAGCAGGTGCTTTGGCAAGGAACAGCAGTGAAAGTGATTATTAGGTAAATAATGCTGAGAGATGGCAGAGCTCCCTCATGGCAAAACAGGTCCTGCTCTTCCATTTCTCTCTTTTTCACTCTATGCATAAATCTGTATTTCTTGCTGTTTCAAATCTTAATTATTTTATTTGTAGAGCTTGTTTTTCTCTTATTATTCTATCCTGATTAGAATATCTTATTCCAAGTAGAACATTTTCTTTGGAAAAGCTATAGCCAAACAGAAGGGCTGCAGATTTTGACCTGTGACTTCTCCATCCTTTAGATCCTTGTGCAATTCTTTATATTTTCAAAAAGAGGCAGTAGAATGATGCCTAATAAATATGTAGTGGGCTGTATAATTTTGGCATGAATAGGTGATGTGAATGGAATAGAAAAAGCCAGTTTTTGTTTGCCACCTAAATGCTTTCTTCTATGTGGTGTTTTTTTTTTTTTTTTAGATCACGTTTAACCTTTGTCTTCAGTGCCATGCAAGTACTTAATTTTGAAAAGCACAGTTTAACAGGGGTGGGCTCGAATGCCTTTTAAAACAAGACTTCCAATATTAATTAACAATTAACTATTAATTGTTACTAAAGAATTAATTAAAAGTTATTTGCTAGTATTTAGATGGATATTTAATGGCTGAGGTCAATATGACCATTTTCAGCACTAATTTTTCGAGTCGTCTGTCAGATGAGTCCCTGTGTGTGTGATCTGTTACTCCATGTTCCTGGTACCTCTGCCTGCTCTTCATAACCACACCTCAGAAGCAGCTGCTAGGAAATGCTGCTGGTCCCACTCAGGAGCTGGGATGGCAGTCTTTCATTTGCTAATTACATTTTGTCAGCCCCCAGGTCTCACTTTTTCCTCTCTGGCATAGTTTGATCACTAACATGTTCAGGAATCTGATTTTAATGTCTTCATTTCCTCGGTACGCCCCGTGGGTGGCTGGTTTATTCTCAATTTACATTTTGCATAATTAAATCTGAGCTTTGAGGGCACTGAGCAATTCACTCACGGGGCAGATGCCATTTTCTGGAAGATGTGCACTTGGCTGGCACAGAGTTGATGTTTTGCTTATCTGGGGGGGTTCAGCAGTCCCAGCACTGCAAGAAGTTGCAGTTAGTGTTTGAGGGATGGAGGCTGGAGATTTGGAAGTATTGCAGTGTGAGCAGGAGGCTGCTGCTGGTAGGGAGGAGGGATCAGTGGTTGATCAGACAGGAGTCAGGCAGCAGACAGGGCACAGGGATGCAGTTTGGTGCTAGAGCTGCAGGATTTGGGAGCAAACGTGATCCCAGCTGTGTCTTTAAAGGCTTGCTGAATTCTGGAAAGCAAAACAACAACAGTACAAGTGGGCTGAAGGGTTATGGGCAAAGCTAGAGATAAATGTGGGAGTGTTGACAGAGGCTGTGAAACAGGGGTTATATAGTCCCAAGATTTTATTCCATATTGTTATGTGCCTCCTGGTGGTTCAAATAAAAGTGATACTGTCCTTAAAAATAATTTCCAGCAGAAACAGTAAAATGACAGAAAAACCTCGTTGCTCAGTGCAGCAGGGTAACTTGTGGGCATAGCATCCCTCATGTCACAATAAAGAGGAGAGGCTTATTATTTTCTGTGGGCTTGAGTTCACAGGGCTTTGAGGGTGTGAAGCATCTGCCCAGGTGGGTCCTGTGATGGCTGCAGAGGAGGAAAGAAGAGATTCATCTTTCCAAAGACCTAAGGAGTGGATGGTGAAACATGCTTTATATATGTAATTTCATCTGATCTCTCAAAATGAAGTGATGCATCTGTTGAATTAGTTCCAGTCGGGTCTGGTCACTTTGTTCTTGTTTTCTAAAACTTGATGTTGAAGGATGGAAGCATTATGTAAGGAGTGAATGCAAACAAGGCTTTCAGTATCATGAAAAGCCATTGTTGCTTCTCAGAGAGAGTGAAGAGCATGGCAAAATGACAGCAGGAAGACATAAAGTGAGATGAACTACAAATTTCAATGCTATCAAATCTTGTTCTCCTGACATGTTTGAACATTTGGAAGAAGATAGAACAAAATCTTGATTCTAAGTTATGCAAGTGATTGAGAAGTAATATTTCAGATGCAGCACGTTTCAAGGAATTGATTACCAGTCAGACTGTCTGTTACCATAAAACAATCAGATACAGGATAGATTTCTGCTGCCTCTTGCATTGATTTTGTATAGCTTTGTGTTGGTTTTTTTAAAAATAGTAAACCAAAGGCACGTTTGAGATCAAAATGTTGTGGTGTGAAGAGTTTGAAGTCAACATCCAGCAGCTGATCTTGTCAAAGCTCAAAAAAGCCTTGAACTCTACAGGAGTTGTGATATTCCAGCAACCTGTTTAAAGGGGAGACTGGAATTAAACTAGCCTTATGACAGGAGTATGGTGTTAGTGTCTCTGTGTGATCCAGTAAATGTGCTTAAGTAGTTGCCATGGATATGCTGTGGCTCAGCTTGTGCCAGGGGAAGAGGCTGGCACTCTCTCTGAGGAGTGGAAGGACATAAAACTGCAGGTTTTGTCTGCACTTGAAAACTGAAAGAAGTCTCAGTATTGTCGAAGTACAGTTTGCCTCGTCTCACTTCAACTTTCTGTTGAAAACTCTTACATGTGGAATATGGTAATATATTTCTTCCAGCAAAGAGAATTAAATGAGAAAATAGAGCATTAGGAGTTGTTTTTGTCCAGGAAGGCTGGTAAATATGCCCAATGTCGTCTTCTGTGTGTAGCTGGTAGAAATTCCACACATTTGAATCCTGCCAATGAGATTTTCTTGTGCTGTAACACTGAGAATTTGCTATCCTACTGCCAGACTTGCACTGTGGGAGCAGTGGCACAGGCTGCTCTCGGGGCTGGCACCTGCAATTGCAGTCAAGGGGAGCTGAAATTGTCTAATTATGATAGTGTGGCTTCGTGGTTTCCTCACTGACACTTAAAAAGTTATTTATTGCTAAAACACAGCACAGCAGAAGAGGCAGAGGAACTCATGAAACGTGAATTGAGACTGTCACATAGATACCAGTGTGAGTAAATAGCTTTTTGTTCTGATGCAGCTAATTGGTATTTTTGTGAGGTATTTCTGCACTGATTGAAATGTTGAAAGTGAAATGTTATAATTGAGATGATTTTGTCTTCATCTGCCAAATCATTCATTGCTTTGCAGCCTGCTGCAGAAATGCTGCTCTCCCACACCTGGAGTGTGCACTATAGTAGTACCTGTCAGTGTACCTTTCTAATTTGTATCTTTACCTAAACAGGAAGGAAAAACATTTCTTCATTGTTTTATGTCTATATTCAAGGTCATGGGATTAAAAGAAATGTCCTGGATGACCAAGTCCTGTATCTTGCTGTCACAGCCACCACATCCTGCAATCCTCTTTGTAAATATATTTATTCAGTCTTAAAAGTTGCTTACTTGTCTCCATTTCCTTTTGTCCTGACTATCCCAGGACATCTACTGATCCTCCTAATTTTCAGTTTAAAATCAGCCACTGCATTCTCATTTCTTGGGAATTGTCTTTTGAGCAGCACTCAATCTTCACAGGATTTCATGTGATAGTGGCAAGCAGTCAAGTCCTGCCTCCCAGCCTCTAATTTACCAGGCTGATTGCACAAGGGCAACCTTTAATTCTCCTCTTGGTAAGGTGGCTGCTCTGCTTTCCCCTCCTGTTCACCATTTTAGCTTGGATTGTTTTTTTTGTTTTTTTTCCTGGTATGGATGACCAGGACTGCAGAGTGACAGCTCTAAAAGAATATTGAAAATCAAATTGCCTTTCATTTCTAAGTTTTGGAATGCACTGTCTTCCAGCACTTACTAATGTTGCCAGAGATTTGTTAGGTGATGAAGAAAAATACGTATGTCATAGGAAATAAGTGCATGGCTTGTTGCAAAGATTGGAAATAGTATTTCCTTTATGCATCAAGGGAGGAAGAGAAAATGCTGTCCCTGGTAAATGTGAAATATATCTGTACCATCAGTAAGATTTCAAATTACGATTTTATCCATTGAAGCAGATAAGGTTTTCTTAAGATGGAATTGAATGCATGGTTTTATCTCTTGTTTGCCAGATAAAGTTGAGTACCTGATTCCCTGGAATTCCTGTTTTCAGAAATATTATCTGGCTTCTCAGCTGTGTTCTTTGCAGAAATGGTGGTGTTGGAGGAAAGGCCAATCTGTTTGTGCCATGATGCTCAAGGGGCAGCTGGAGCTCACTCATCAACCAAATCATGTCAAAGAAATGCTTTTTCCCACTCTTCACAAACTTGAGTTTCTCGGGTTTCTGAGATCCAAGATAAGCTTATCTTATTTCTGCAGCAGTGTTTTCTCCTACACTTTCATTTACAAAATAAAAAAAAATGCTTAGCCCTGCTAGGCCTCAAAAAAAAAAGGTTTGATTTTTAAAGAGAAGTGTCTCTGCTTTCTCAACAGTACACAGCTCCTCTCAGAGGCCAGGCTAGGCTCAAATTATCAGATTATAGTAAGAAATTATTTGTGAATAAGCAAGTACTGAATCTCAGTACAAAAAACCTCCACCAAATCTCAAATGTGGCCCCCTCAGCAAAAAGAACCAAAAAAATTGCCCCCAAGCTCCCTTGATAGGATGAATGCACAACTAGAAAAAATGGTAATTAGGACATTTCTCTAAGATGATTTAGGTGTGCTTCATAAAGACAGTTTTCAGTAACTTCATGCATTTTCCTTGGACTTCCTACCTGACTTAGTGCAAAAGCATAACTGAAATTAAGCTGGGGCTGATCCCCTGATTGCCTCAGAGGGACTGTGACTGAGCAAACTCTTGCTCCTCAGGCTGTGTAATTTCATGCTCCTGTGTGTGATTTTCTGTATGGCGACATCAGGATGAGTCACAAGAAATAAAACAGATAAACCCGAGTTGAACCCAGTCAAAAAGACAAATTCAGCTCCTTTTATAGCAATAGAATAGAACCTCTCTGTGATATAAAGGATTAAGATAGCTTAAATACAGCACTAGAACATTTTGTTTAGAAATTAATTTCTGTAATTCCCTAACATTTCAAACATAGGATTTTTCAATGTATAAAGGAATAAATAGATGAAAATGTGGTAAGTGGTGATTATCTGCACTCCAGTTTTCTCTGAGAAAAAATGTCTCAAATGGTTATTAAAAAGCACAAAGCTCTATCAGCTGACAATGAAGTAATGGTAAAGTACTAAAATAATTGTTCTGATATCAATACTTATACTTAGAAATAAGGCATATATTTTGTGGTGGATCATGCTAGGGGGCTTTGTGGTTTGTTTTTCTTGTTCTATAATCTTATTTTATTTAACCTTGAGGAATGAGTTCTTAAAATCCTCATGTAGTTCTTTGCTTCCTTAGTGGTTATGGCCCAATTTTCCAGGACTTTAATGAGGGCTGAAGTAGCCTGGAATAATGGAATGGAGTGAGCCATTTGTTCTTGGAAAACTGCTTTTGGTGGCTGCATTTCTGTAAGCAGCCAGTCATTCCCTTTACAGGGTTTGTTTTTGATGTTGCCCCAGACAGTTACATACAGCATCAGTAGTTGTATTTTTTTCTTACAAACTTACAGAATCTGATCATGCTTATGCCAATTTTTGGATAAATTTCAGTGAACTTAATTTGAATTTATACATTGCTCTGTAATCTTCTTAATGCTTTTCTCAAATGGCATTGAAGAATTTAAGGCGTTTAATATCTGAGCTTGGTAATTGCTACATTGTAATTGATTTCGTTTTCATTATTTTAATCACATCAGCTCAGCTACACAACATACATTAATGTCATAAACATTTAAAAAATGTTTTTTGAGTTTATTCATGAAGTAGTGGCATAAATCATTTATGCATTTTCTGATGCTCTTAGAATAATTTCTACAAGAAGTAATTCAGATTGTATGTCCCTGAGAACAGAGGAAGCAGTCCTCAGTAGGATTGTCTGTTGCATAAAGCTCTGTTCTGGGTGGGATTTTGAAATATAGTTAAGGAACCATCTTTCAGAAGTTACTTTTAATTTTTATTTTGTTTGGACTGCATACTCTCAAGATCCCTGCTTCTGGCAACAGGTAGGTTTTCAAAAAGATTTTTTTTCAGAATATTTTTCAACAGAATAAATGTCATTAATTTTTTACAAGAAAGCTGCTGATTAACTGTCAGTTTTTAAGCATGGGGGCCCCAGTTCTACAAGCAGACTCATGGGAGCTGTGGAACAGCAGCTGTGGATGGTTCCCACTGATAAAAACCCAAAAACCAGGGATTGGCACATGGGACCACTTAGTCACTCTTAGTTCCTCTTTAAAACCTCTCTTGTTTTCATTTTTACTAGAAAACATAATATGAATGGCTGTCAGTGCAAAGGCTTCCACATGTCTTGCACAATGATCAAGGCCAGTTTCATTCCTCCTCTGTACCTGCTTCATTCTTTATCATGAGTTTTAATTCACTTGAGTTGCAATATGTAAAATACAGGTAAGATTTAAAATGTTTTCTAATTCACTTGCTATGTTTTACATTGGATGAGTTTTCTTCAGTTGTTGGATGGATGGAAAATTATTTATATCTCTAAAATTTAAACCCACGTGGCATAATAAAGCAGGAAAAAAAAACTGCTCAGAGAAACACAAAAATTGAGTAAGATAAATTTGATTTTCAGTGGTTTATCAATATTTTCATTTAATTATGTGCAAAAAAATCACTTAGAATATATAGCCAGTCTACCACTGTTCTACTATAGTGTTTTCAATTACAAGAATTTGTCATTCTCAACATTTTCAAATGAAAATTTACGTAACATCCCCAAATCAGGGAATTTGCTTCCTCCTTTAGTGAGGACTGTAATACAACATTGCATAGCCAGTACCCTTAACTGTGGGTTTCTGTGCCCCTTACAACATGGAATTTGGGAGAGTCATGTATTTTTAAGCAGAGACCATTTTGGGAGCCTATTTTTATCAATACACTGAAATGCTATTGCGAGCACATGAAGGGAAAAGGCTGCTAAATCCACGGAGAATTTTGTTCCTGGAATTTTGGCGACTGTGCAATAAAATGTGCCTCTCTAACAAGAAAAATATGTGAGGAACTAAAATCAATGAAGGATAGTGCTGAGGCTTTCCAGTACTGCAAAGTACTAAATGCTATAAGGCTCTAAAGTTTTCCTTCAGATGAATTTGATAATAAATTAGATCTAGGTTTGCTATGGTCAGAAGATAAATCAATGAAGCAGCAGCCAAATTACAGGGTAAGAGCTACCATGATGCAAATCCAACCATCTCCCTTTGCTGGGGTTAGTTTAGTTGGTACAGTCTTCATGTTTCCTGTTGTTCCGTGTGGATCTGGCCATAAAATGCAGCTATTTCCCATTGATTGCTTTCTTTCTGCCCTGGAGATTCTACCCCACTCTCCTCCAGCGCAGCCAGCAGGCACAGACTTTCCTGTACATCCCATTGTCGCGTTCAGCATCTCAGTGCTGGCATGAAACAACTTTAATTACCCTGACAACTGAACATGCTGAAACTCAGGGCACTGCTGGGTGTCACACTTTACCTGCCCGTACATCACTTGCTGGAGCTGATACGGCTCAAGGCAAGAGCAGAACTGAAGCTGATAAGCTTTGCAGCTGTCCCAAGGGCAACTTTTGTGGGGGATGCTGAGATAGTAAATGCCTGGTGCAGTTCAGATTCCCCCGGAGGTCCACATTGTGCACCAGCAAGAGATAAATCGGATCTCAACTGATTTCTTCCTCTGATACCTTAGCTGAAGAAAAATAGCTTTTTATGTAGCAGCTTTGGTGGGTGGTGTGGGATGGGAGGAGAGGGGTAGGAGCAGCAAGTAAAAGCACAGGGTAAATGTGGCTTCGTTTGCAAAGCAAATTGGCATTTGTCTTTATAGATAACAAGTCAGATAATGAGCAGGACTGTGAGCAGGTAGCATAACTAGGAGAAGCAAGAAGGATTATGGAGGAAGTGACTATAGAAATGACAGATTTTCCAAGTGGAGACAGGTAAGACTTGTATGGCTTGGAGTTACCACCTGATATGGAATCTAAGCTGGCAGAATAAATGGCTGAAAACCCAAAGATAAGGAGGGGGGAAACAGCAACACTGCACATTAGAAATAGTGGAATCTTGTTAGCCATGAGGGATGTCAGTGGGGTTTGTGAAGGTTTCAAACATCTGTGGTCTGTAAAGTCAGACTGGAAAATTCAGAGGAACAAGTTTTCAGACAAATGCAATAACTTGATTTTTTTTTTCCCCTTTGGAAGTATTGTAATCAGCCTTTGTCTCTCCAAACAGCTTTCTGCTTGTGGGACAAAGAAGGGACTTCAGAAGAGCAGCATATTAAGTGTGAAAGGAGTGAAGCTTCTCTTCACCATTTAAAAGGTAAAGTATTTTGAGCTGGTAAGAACAAAGTCTATTGAGTGATGACATTGAGAACTGTGATTACATGGAGAGAGGATAAATAATGCTAAATAAGATACTTCAGAGGAAACATTTCAGATGATGGATGTCTATGCTATTCTTTTGCAAGCATCAACTGTCTTCTGTTATGATTAGTGTTAGATGAATCAACCCTGGAACAGATTAAAACTGACACTATCCCAAGTTCAAGTGTGTGCATAAGAATTTCAGAACATTGCCCTGCACAAGGGCATGCCTTTTGAAATTGTAATTGAAATAGGTGGTCTTCCTTTCATAATGAGCCAGAAACCCAGCAACTACTGTAGGAGCATGCTGGCTCCTCAGCAGGTGCTGAAGCCCCCTGACATGAGCAGGCAGTGTGGCTCTGTCAGCACAGAGCTCAGTGCAGATGAATCTGTTTGGCTGCATTATTACTGCACTGAATCTCATTCTGGTTACCAGGCTGAAGGGAGCTCAGAGACCTTTCTACCCTGCCATAGACTGTAATATTGCTCTTGGTTTCCAAGAACTCTTTATGAACCTGTTATAGTTAGTAGAGCTGTGACATTGGCCTGGGAGCTATTTCCTCAGAAAAAACATCAGCCAAATTCTTCACTTTGTTGTTTTGTAAGTTTGTGTGAAAGTCCAGAAGGAAGATAAAAAAATCAAGTGTTTTCATTCTTTAGCTTCTCTTTTATGGCCTCTTGGTGGAAAAAGTCTCTTGTCATTAAACCAGAGCATCTAAAGTGAAGGTGCTTGGGTCAAGTTGTTTGGGAATCAAACAGCATTTTTGGTGTGGCATGTCACTTCAAAACTTCATTCTAATGAGAAGTGGGTCAACTGATCCAAAAAAGACACTGTAGGGTGTTTGACAGTGAGGAGCAAAGATTTGCACTCAGCTTTGCTTTAGTTTCTTTCAAAATGTTGGAGACTCAGAGCAGTACAAAGGAATCCTGGGTGTTGGGAAGGTGTTGAGACAACAGGAGGAATGTGTTTAGTGGTGCCACATGGCTGGGAGTGGGGTCAGGCTGGCTGCTGCTTTCAGCTGACCAGCATGTGCTTGGGTTTTGCCAGTTTTCCTAATTAAGAGAGGCTCTGCAGCTCTGGTCACAGCCCCAGGAAAGCAACTGCCAGTTTGTTGGTGACTTGCCAATTCTGCTGTGCCTCCAGCTGGAGGAAAACCGAAATCTGTATGATTAATAAGTGCGGGATATGCAAATGAGAGATGGTTGAATGAAACTGTAAGTGATCAGTGCTCTGTGCTCTGTGTGCCCAAAGGAGCTGTACACATCCCTTCCATGTAATGTAGCCTGGAAAATAGAAAAAGCTGTTGTAAAGCTGAGCTTAGGCTTCTGGGAGTTCCTGACTTGTGAACCATCAAAAACTTTGGCTTCTCTATTGACTCAAAGTCTTTTACATTGGCTTACCCTGGAGTTGTACAGTCTTGTTTCTGATCATGACATAGGGTTTAGGGATTTGATTCGTGGATAGCAGAGAAACAAATCTATTTTGTTGTGTAGCTTTGTTAAATGAATAACAGGTATTTAGTAACCAAAATAGCAGATCAGAGGTAACCTATTTGTGTATTTTTATGGTTTGAAAATGTATATTTGAAACTTATGACTAGTTGAAGATTCATAAGCTTATGAAGCTTATGAATAGTTGGAGATTCTTATCTTGATATCAAGTAAAGGCATTTGAATATCAGCACTATTTGTAAGAATAGATTTAGTTTGGGAAAAGGCACCAAATTAAAGGTGAGATTTTACCAAATGTTCCCTTCAAACAGAAATTGCCTGGGACTGACTGATCCCAGTGAGTCAGCCTCTATAATATTCATTGACTGACTCAATTGTACAAACCAACAGCCAAATCATATTTAGAGGAAAAAAAATCCAAGGCACGCTGGTTGAATTTAGTTGTTTTTCTTCACCTGTATGCACTTCAATTTTAGGGGCAAAAAGTCTTTTAAACTGAGGAAGTTGGTAGTCTGCATTCTATGAGAGAAAAGGAAGGAAAGCCAGCTGTACGAGCTGGAGGTTTTAATTCCTTCTTTTCATCTTTACTGGGTTTTTCTGGATATACAGGTAGTAGAAAAACGTTTACAGTCAGGTGGTTTCCTTGCTGATTACACCACGCCCCAGTCAGCCCAAAATCTGTGCTTCACAGCCACTTCCTCCAGCTGTTCTGGGCACTTTCAACGACCTTTATCCTTGTCCTTGTGTCTCACATGTCTGGCACTACACTGCTCTGCAAGTCTGAGTGGGATCTAGGCAAATAAGAGGTCTCTGACCTCCAATTTTTTCCCAGTGTCCATACATTTGCATACATCTATCTGTCTCTCTCTGACTTTAAATGACCATCTTTCCCCTTTGAGGAAAATAAGAATTGGTGTTATGTTTAATGTTAGCTCCCTTACTATGTTTTGAGCTGACCATTACAAGCCTCTTCACTGGTACCTTTGGTAGCCTTAGTAAATTTTGCTTTGATGGAGTGTGTTGAGAGCTTTGTTTAACACAGTGTATAGCCTGCATCAGGGTACAGTTCTCAGGGCATCTAGCAGACTTGAGACTCTAAATCTGACTCATCTTTATTTGGGTTTCACAGTGTCTCAGACATCTTGCAGTGAGATCAGAGTTTTGGTACTTTCCTGTCAGATGTTTTCTCTCCTTAACCTTAGAGATTAAGGTACGTTTGGCATCTGTGGTAGAAATGTGATTTTTTTCCCGTGCACCCCACCTTTTCCTCTCCCAATAAAGTGGCTTAATCATACAGCCTTGCTTTGGTTTTCCTCCTGAGAAGTTTGTGCAGTGGGCTCTCTTCTTGCAGAGCCAACAGCTGGGGCTGTGCTTCACTTGGCCAGGGCTGCCTGGGATGTCTCTCCAGCTCGTTGGCCTGATTTGTGATTCCCTGTTCAGCCACAAAGGGCTGGCACCAGGCTTCTGTCTGGTTGGTTGATGTGTGTGTTACAGCTGACTTCTTGTTCCCAGTCAGATGGGAAATTGTGCTGCCTGTCCACTGCTGGACAGTGCTGCCAAATGGTGCTTTAGACAGCTGCTGCTCCTCACCACAGAAGCAGAGGGGTGTTAGAAAAAATGTGGATGTATTTGAGCTGATTTGGACCTTTCTGAAGGGCTTTTATCATTGCCTTGGTGATATCAATGCTGTAAAAGATTGGAAGTGGTGCTCTGAGACCCCACCTTTCATGGGTGGCCTTCCCAGGTGGTGTGGGGCTCACACAGCCACGTCAGCCCTTTTCCCCTGTGCCATTGACAGGAGAGCAGCCAGGCTGTAACATCCAGGAAAACCTTCTCCCCTGTCACAGGCTCCAGGGAGAAGCCTGCTATTCCTTCACTTATTTTGCAGAATTCTCAAGGTTGGATACAACTCAGTCACTGTGAGTGCTAAGAGTGTTTAAATTATTCTGAGCCATGCCTGCACCTGCTTATGGCTGTGCACAGAGATTGTGAGAGTTAACTGCCACTTAAAAATCACTTGGAGGAGCAAAAGCTTTCTCTACTTTGTTCCTGTTACTTTCAATTAATTTCTGAACATCTGTGAGATAACCTTGAGAGAGGCTTAGAGGAATATAAAGATTCTCAACCAACTGTTCTTAGGTGAAATAAAAAACTAAGTTCTCTTGGAGATGAGAAGCATCTTCATGAGATGATTTTCTTACTCTTACATAATGGCTTTCATTGTTGGTGAGAAGCTAGTTTCTCAAAATAAATGTTTGTCTTTCAACAATTATTACTCTAACTGCATTGTATCAGTGATGCATTTTTTAAAATAGGGATTTACACAATATGGCAGCAGCTCAGTAAACAGAATAAGAAAGAGCACAAAAGCTGAAACTAGAAAATTTTAGAGAAATGTCAATTTAATTGGTTTAGTTTTGGAGGAGCTAAAATCTCACTGCTGTTGAGTAATAATGCACATTCCAAATTCCTTGTCTGATTATGCATGGGAGGGGTTGAATCTCTATGTTCCTTGGTATCACATGTTTGACTTTTATTAATGATTAGGACAAGGCACTGGGGATGGAATTATTCAAATCCTCTGAGCACACTACGTGGAGTAGAAGCCACAAGCATGTGGGAGAATTAAAAGCACAGGATTTTTTTGGAATGATCTTTTCAAACAGGCGATGCAGTTTGGAAAGAATAAAAATTCATCAACAGGTACAAATTCCAAGCACAGTGTTAGGAATAGCAATGGCACAGGGAGAGCTGGCTGGGGAGTGTTTGTACAGAAACACTGGATGGCCATTTCCAGGGAATACTGTAAAAACAAAAATGCTGTTGAGGCATGTGTGTCAGATTTTTAGCCTGAGTGGGAGATGAGTAAATTGTTCTGCTTAATTAGGGCTTGTCCTGGGGGATCAGGTCCTGGATCATAATCCTAGATAATAATAATCCTATCATAATCCATAATCATAAATCCTAGAGCATTTGTACCAAAATCCAATCAAGCTGTGCTCCAGTTGAGGACTGTGTAGATAGAGGAAAAGAGAGTTGGTGGAAGTGTGCAAATGTGTCTTGTGACAAAGATGAGTCAAATTGATGTTCCTCAGCTTGAAGAAGAGAGGATTTAGAGGATCCATTGTTGGCACCTAATTACAGACTTTTGCAGTGTGGAAGGGAATGGCTTGTTCTGCCTGGCTGCTCTTGGTAAAACAATAAATTGAAGGAAATTAGAGGGTGCTTCCTCAGACTTTTCAAAGGTAAAGATACAGAAATGTTAGCAAGGATTGGAAAGACTGCAACCTTTAAGAGCAGGGTGCAGAAATACATGTCAGGAATAATATGTACAGCTGGTCATGCCCCTGGACACAGAAAAGGAATCCTTCCCAAGCTCACAGTTGGACCATGAATTCTGGGGATCTTACTGCCTGTGCAGCTTCCATGTGTTAGGCAACAGTGGTGAATAGGAGCATGAGCAGGACTGGGTGATGCTGTGTGTACAACAATTTATCAGCTCTT